GGGCCAGGGCTGAGCTGGGGAAGTGCGTGGCAGCTCTCACAGAGCTCCGGCCCCTCGGCCCCCCTGAAGGACCTGGCTAACGGGATGGTGAGCCCGGCTCCAGCTGTCCTGGCAGCTGCTGAAGGTGTGTGCAGGTGGGAACGGGCAAGGTGTGAGGGGCTCTGTGTCTGTAGGTGGTGTCACCCAAAGCAGGAGCAGAGATGCCCCGCAGATGAGAGGGCTGCAGCCCAGCTGAGGTGGGAGGAGATGCAGGACCTGCTGCTGGATAAGCATGGGCTACAAAAGCAATAGGAAGAGTAGGGCCCAAGAAAAGGCCAGATGGTTAAAGAACTGGATTTCCTTCATATAGGACTAACGCTTACAGGTTGAAGGGTCACTGTCTTCCTCTTCCTCTGCAGATGCAGAACCAGATGCGATTGTAGTTGGGAAAATTTCCTTTAACCCCAAGGATGTGCTGGGCCACGGAGCTGGAGGAACCTTTGTCTTCAGGTGAGTGGCACCCCGGGGTACTTGCCATCATTCCGCCCTCATTCGCCCTGGGATCCACAAGGACAGCGCCCAGGCAGCGCCTTCCCGGGGTGGCAGCCACTGGTTCAGGGGCTTTAGAGAAAGGGTTGCCACCTTCCCCTTCTCATGGTCCTCATCAAACCCATCTGGGGAGCTGGGCTCGTGGCCTTCGGTAACCAGGTACCGGGTACGAAAAAAGGGCCCCCCCTCCCCCCCCCTGCGCCAGGCTGTCAGGCCGCTGGGCTGTGCCGGCTCCAGGCTGCCCTCGGCAGCGGCACGTCTAGCCCTTCCTAAGGTTCCCCTGGCTCTGGCTCAGCCCCTTTCCCCAGCACTAAACACAGCAAAAGGCGAGACACCTTATTTTCCTACAAAAAGGGGAACCTGAGCCCTCAGGCTCCAGCTCGCTGCAGAGATTTCTGCCTGTCCATGGCTGTGACAAGTCTTTGGGGGGGTCACTCCAAGGTGACCCATGCTGAGGACCCCGAGGGGCGAGTTTCCAGCATCGGCCAGAGCCTGGCTGGGCTGCGCATCTGCAGCCCTGGGCTCTGCTCTGGCTGGGGATGGCTGTGCACGGACACCGCCATCGCCTCTTCCTGCAGGGGACAGTTTGATGGCCGGAACGTGGCCGTGAAGCGTCTCCTGCCCGAGTGTTTCCATCTCGTGGACCGCGAGGTCCAGCTGCTCCGGGAGTCGGACGAGCACCCCCACGTCGTCCGCTACTTCTGCACCGAGAAGGACAAGCAGTTCCACTACATCGCCATCGAGCTCTGCTCCGCCACGCTGCAGGAGGTGAGCCTGGGCACGGGGGCATGGGGCTGGCTGCGTGGGGCTGCTGCTGGGGGGGCTTTCGATCAATCCTGGCTGTCCCCGTGCTTGCAGGTTGATCCCCAGGGGTTTCACCTGTGCTGTCAGGGAGGTCCCGCAGTGCTCTCACGGGAGCAGGGTGCTGTGCATGCCCGAGGGCAGGGTTGGCAGCCAGCAGCTCCCAGGTTCAGAGCCCTCTTTGGGGTGCTGGCCTGGCCATGGGCGTACCCCCCTGCTCCGAACCTGGTTCCCAGCAGTCAGAGGGAACAGGGTTGGGATCGGGCATGGCAGGGCTGCGAGGCGCTTTGGGGAGGCAGAGCAGCCAGCAGCATCACGGCTCCTGGGTCAGTCGAGCCCCTGCCCTTGCTCTCCTGCCGGTTTGCGCTCTCGGGAGGGACAGGGCAGCTCCGAGCCTCGGCATCGCTCAGGGCAGTTTTGTTCATGTGCTGGGAAGAGAATCGGCACGGCGAGGAGAAGCATCCTTTTACCACTCCGTAAAGTAGGAGGGTTGCTGGAGCTGTAGAGGTCTGAGGACACAAGTGAGGGCAGTTTGCTGCAGAGGGAATAGATGCCGACTGGTAGAGCTGGAAACAGCAAGCCTTGGGCCCAAACGGCCTCTGCATGGGCTTGTCTCCTCCTGCCTCTGTCAGCCTAGCGAGAAGCCTCTCTCCCAGCAAGCCTTGCCTTCTTTGCCCCAGTAAATCAGGCCCCAGTTCATCTCTTTCTGCCTCTGTGTGGTTCCAGTACGTGGAAAGCCCCAGCTTCGATCGTCGCAGCCTGGACCCGGTGTCTCTGCTGCGTCAGACCATGTCGGGGCTGGCCCACCTCCACTCCCTCAGCATCGGTAAGAGGGCAGGAGGGCAGCGCGTCCCGTCTTGGTCCCGTCCTCAGCCGAGGCTGCGGGGTTCAGGCAGCGGCTGTCGGGTCGGCAGCGTGCGGGGCAGCGGGCAGAGCCCTGTTCTGTTGGCCCCTGACGCTGCGCGCTCTCTGTTCCAGTCCATCGTGACCTGAAGCCCTGTAACATCCTCATCTCTGTCCCCAATCGCCACGGGCAGATCCGAGCCGTCATCTCTGACTTTGGTCTCTGCAAGAAGCTTCAGGGGGGACGACAGAGCTTCAGCCTCCGCTCCGGCATCCCTGGCACCGAGGGCTGGATCGCGCCCGAGGTGCTGCAGGAGGCCCCGAAGGAGAACCCCGTCAGTGAGCTGCGGACGCCTCCCCCCGCTTAGGGTGCTCCTCGAGCCCCTCATGGCAGAGTCCCCCATAATGGCAGCGGCCTTGGGGGTCTGCTGCTGAAATGCATAATTAAGACAAGAGCTCTGAGAGCCCGAGCCAGCCCAGATGCAGAGCAGCGGTGCTCCTCGCCAGGACCGCCCCAGCCAGCAGCTGGCCTGGCTCTCCTGCCCTTGCGGGGACAGTGCCCGGCTGTGTTTGGCACAGGACGTCTCATCTGGCTACGGTCCTCAGAAATTCAGGGTGGGGAGGTCGGAGGGGGCCGTGGCGTGCTGCAAAGGTTACGCTTCTGCCTGTCTGTTTAGCTGAAGCCGGTTGCTGTACTGGTACTGGTCCCTGGCGGGGCACATACGGGTGCTGGCAACGTGCTCTACATAACCTTGTACCGGGGTCAGTTTGCACAGCTGGGTGAGACACCAGCAGCCCTGGCATGCCTCTCTGGCCGTGAAGTCCCGACTTCTGTCTGTGCCTCTGAAAACCTCCTCCCTGATAAGGACCTGATGGGATGGGAGCTTCGCTGACTCCAGAGAGCAGGGCCGGCAGGAGCCCTGGTGCGATGCATTTTCCAGCAGCTCTGTAGCCAATGACCAAGCGTTCACGTAAAAGAATGGAAAAGCGGGGAGGTGAGAGCTTTCCTCACCCTTTGCTGCAAGGGTCTCATCTCCCCCTTCGTGTTTTGCAGACCTGTGCTGTCGACATCTTCTCAGCCGGCTGCATCTTCTACTACGTGGTGTCTGGAGGACAGCACCCGTTTGGGGACAGCTTGCGGCGACAGGCCAACATCTTGTCGGGCTCTTACCAGCTGAGCTGCCTGCAGGACGAAGCTCATGGTGAGACCCTTCCCCACAGGCACCTCCCTGCAGGGAAGCCCTGGGCGGAGGGGCGCAGCTCCCGGTCCTTCTTGCGGGGCCTTAGCTCTCCATTGTGTCGTTTCGCCTACCAGACAAGCTTGTTGCGAGAGAGCTGATTGTGGCAATGATCAGCCCCGAGCCCCAGCGCCGACCCTCGGCCCCTGTGGTCCTTGTGCATCCCTTTTTCTGGAGTCAGGAGAAGCAGCTGCAGTTCTTCCAGGTGGGTGCACGCTGTCCCAGCGGGCAGGGAACATAGGCGTGCTCTGAAAAACAAGTTCTGGAAACAGCTGTGTTTAGGGCAATGTGCTCATTTGAGCTGCTTTTGGAAGAGGTGGAGGGTCCTTGGGTTTGGGGCTGGGGACAGACCGTTTCTGTGCTCCCTTGGCACTGGACAGGGCAGTGTGGGGCGAGGGCAGTGCCATACCCACCCATCCCTGCTCTTGGCCACGCAGGACGTCAGCGACCGCATCGAGAAGGAGCCTACTGAGGGTCCCATCGTCTCAGCCCTGGAGGCGAGGGGACGGTCAGTGGTGAGGACCAACTGGAGGATGCACATCTCCCTCCCGCTGCAGACCGGTGAGTGCACGGGGGCCAGGCTCCCCGCTGCGGCCCCAGCCTGCTGCTGCCTTTCACGGCTCATGCCCAAGAGCTGAAAACCAGGGCGGGTAAAACGTGCCAGCCCTTCCTTGGGAGGGCAGAGCAGTGCCCAGGTTTGGCGCAGGCTGCGATGCTTGCCTCGGGGTGCAGGGGCTCGCCCTGGCTGCATCCCACCTCGCTCAGTGTCTCTCCTGCTCTCCCCAGACCTGAGGAAGTTCCGCACCTACAAGGGGGGCTCGGTGCGTGA